ACTTCACTTATGGGCACATAATTATTCTTTTTAATCCTCAGAGCAACTTTCTCAAGAATCATATTGAAGAACTCTATCTATCCCAATAAGAACACTGTGCGTTTCCTGATCAGTGAGAATAACTTTGTTTATAGAGTCATTTGCGAATTTCTTAAAATTATAGGAAATAAGCTTATTAGGTAGATATTCTGATACACATCCCCAGGACTCAGTGAAAATAAGGAAAAGATATCAAAGCAGTGGATATAGAGTGATGCTTTCCCACATTTACTTAAACTTTGAGCTGATCAGTTCCTTTAATTACAACGTGGTACAAATGAGAACATAAGTGCATATCTTTTCCTCACTTGGGCATGATAGTTTTAGAAAGAGGGAAAATACTCAGACTATCACCATGAAGTCCAGGAATTATTGAGACACATATCTGCTGAGCCATAAGAAACCCAGATGGCAAAATAATCCAAGCTCACATTGACTTGACGGTGGGGTCAGAGGCATCATTTACAAAAGTTATAGCAGATTGAGCTGGGAAGAGTTTGGACTCAAAGATTTCACTAGATGGCACATAATGCTTACAGTATTTTACCATTATCCTTCCTTTTTTGAAAATGTATTTTGTAAGAGAAAAGGAAGTTTTTAATGTTTTTATATCTTTGGCTTCCAAAAGTTGTCCAGAATCTCAAAAAGGAGTTATAAGAAAAAAAAAAAGGACCTTTAATCTTGAAGTACATGTGTGGTTGATATAGCAGTTCTCAACCTGTGGGTTGTGACCCATGGGAACTGTATTAAAGGGCCACAGCATTAGGAAGGTTGAGACCACTGCTTTAATAACAAATACCGAAGAACGTCCAGAGTTGACCACTTCCTTGTATTGACCACCTCAAGTTAACTGAATTTTCATAAGCCAGACATGCACCACATGTAGGTATCAGTACAGCAGGCCTACTTCCTTATGTTGACCACCTCTGTATGTTAACCAGTTTGTTACAGTCCCTTGGGTGGTCAACTTACAGAGATTCTATTGTATTCATTTTTCCTTTTCCTTAATTCTGAAATGTAGACCACAATTTTTGCAGGTACTAGGGAGAGGGTTAGTGAATAGATGGTACGGCATTAATGTGAACACCACCACAAATACAATGGAACTGTGACCCATGACAGATGGCTGGTGGGAGTCAAAATACTGGATTCCATCCCAGCACCATGCCAGCCAGAGCTGAATTCAATCTTCCAGTCCATTTGGGCTTCAGTGAAATGTAGATAATAATATCTCCTTTTCTTACCCAGATGCGTGTCAAGATGTAGAATAGTAATATTTGGGAGCAAAGGGCAAAGCACTGCAAAAATGTGAAGTATATCACGATTATTTGATCCAACATAAGAAAAAAAGTGAAAAAGCAAGTCAGTGCCTAGCACATGTGGACCACATAATGCCAGGTGTTTGGTGCAGGACCAACATCTGGATGTGTGATTATATGTTTAATTCTTCCTCCAGATGTTGGGATATTAGAAATGTTAGGGATAAGCAAAAAGTCACTTTGACCATTTGCAAATAGGACCCAGTCAAAAGGATACCCTCTTATTAACTGGGTGCTCCCAGAACGTTTCAAAGACTAGTACGTGCCAGGCTGAGAAATGCCTTTCTGTCATACTACTTTTGCAATTCTGTCACAGGGCAAAAGCCCCCAATGCAGAAAGAAGCCCCAGCAGTTTTTCTGAGACACCCTCTCACAGCATTTCTCTTTATATGCTCATAAGTTCTAATTGGGTAAATCAGGTACACATGGGGACAAGGATATTAGGACACCTTGCTGGTTCCCACTGAGTGGGATAACAATTACTTAACATACGATGACAGCTCTTCTAGATCTCACAGGAGCCAGTATCTTTTTTTTTTATTTCAAAAGCAAATATCATCATATGATGCTATTTTGCTAATTTACAACCATGTATAAATTCAAGTTCAATATCCTTGTTTATATCCAGATATCACTTATTATGGGACTGTAGCCAAATATTCTCTCAGTCTCCATTCATCCCTTCCTTGAAGAGGAAAATAACATTTGCTATCACCTTTGGGAAAGAATAATGACATAACTCAATACTCTCCCCAAGGCATATTATATACATTAATATATAAGATGAATATTTTCTGTATTCTTATTGAAGTTTAAAATATTCTATGTTTTTAATTGGATAGAATGTCCCCAACTGTAATTGGACCAAATTCTTGAGGAATTGTCTTTTTTCATAAACATCACACATAGATTAAAATTTTGATGACAAACAATATCTATAGATACAGATAATTCCCTCTCAGCCTGCGGTTGTTCTGTATTTCAGCTTAGACAATCATTCTGTAAACTGCCAGAAGGATAATTCCTAGAGTTAAAAGTCCCAAGTCTCAGTGCTGAACCACTTTGGAGGAGGAGATTTTTTCATACTGCCTCCGGAAATACCACAGTGTAGATATAGCAGTGATAGAAGGCAGGGTTTGGGACGCACACTGCTTGGCTTTTAAAGAATAGTCTATTTTCCTGATTCTCAGAGTCTCAGTATTTTAAGACCGACATTACTCATCTGTGACTGAGCCATCTGCCTGGGACAGTCTTCCATGGCTCAGGGACCAAGAATAACTGGATGTCATGGAAAGATATGAGTACAGCCAGGCTGCTCCTGCAGAACGGGCTGAGGCTTGGAGAGCCAGCAAAGAGCTGGACAGACAACATCCTTCCATTATGTCCAGTTCTGCTGAGGTCATGGGGTCCTGCCTTGTTTAAATTAAACTTTACGCCATATTTAGTCAGCCCTCCTAGAGTTAAAAGTTTAGTGACTCTGCTGTGTTCACTTGGCTAGGTCTCTATCAGGCATTAAGTCATAACACTTGACTAAAACAAACAGTGCTAGCAGCAGCGTTCATCAACATTCACCGTGTAAAGCCTGTGCCCGACAACCACCGTCTGTGTTCATGTGCAAGACAGACCCACAACGTGCAGAACGATCAGAAAGACAACTGATGCTTAAAACTGCAGTGAACAATATCATTGTTTTTCCTCCAAAGCTAAGACGACAGGATTTCTCCAGGGAGAGCCTGCCTGTCTGTACATAAGCGTGCGCGCGCACACACACGTACACATACCCCCCACGTGCCAGTAATTTTTACAATTTTAAATTTTTTCCTTCTTTGATATTTCATCTCTATTTTTCAGTAGGTCCACATTTTTCTTTACTTAATTTTATGCTCCTTCAATTTAATTTAAAACAGACCAATTGTTCCTAGAGTAACAACTTTCAAAAGTGCTCAATTTGTTGGGGGAGATACCCACATCCAAATTATAAATTTGATACTCTGGTATTTAAGGTTAAATGTTAAAGTCAGTCTTATTTTCTATATTGTCCCTTTTCCATGATCATATGTTGATGACCTTCATGAACCATTCTGCTTTACTGTAGATGTCGAAGTTTATTAATGACAGTGCAGGTTTCAGCCACCACCCCCACCTTTTGCCCATACTTGCTGTTTCAGTGTTAGTCTGCAGGTTGGAATCCTTCTAACTGACCAGAAGCAGCCTGTCTGACATCAACCCTTCAGTTTCCCCTCTCCTCCCCATGTACTCACCTGCAGGATGCTGAGGTGTTCCCGGGGAGGAGGATGATACTGGCAGAGCCTCCTGAGAGTCTAGAGATGATGGGCTATGGCTCCGAAGAGCCGGGGAGGCAGGGGCTGCTGGTGAGGTCAGGTCCAAGGAGAGGTCGGCTCTGCCCCGGCTCACACTCCGGCCTCTCTGCTCCTTCTCATGTGCCTCAGCTGCCAACTGTTCCAAGTATTTGTATCTGAAAGTTAAATTCCAAAGGGTTTCCGTCAAAAGAAAGAGGAGTCCGTGGCTGATGCTTGTTTATGGACGAAACACCTGCAGAGTGAGCTGGTTTCCGGATGCACAGAGCACAGCGCAGGCCTGGCTGGAGGGTCAGGCTGCCAGCACCACCCAGCAAAGCCAAGATGCTGATGATTAAAAACCCCGAGTCACTCATAACCAAGCAAATTGGGGGAAATGGCAACATCACACGGTCCCCAGACACTGAACACTGCTACAGAATCCTATTCTGCTCTTTTGGGAAACATTTGTACAAATAAGCAACACAGCAATGATGACCACCAAAAAGCCCCCAAGAGTGACAGCCAGAAACCAGATCCACCCAGAGCCTGCAGCTGTGAAATGGGTGGGTGCCTTGGTGTGGCAGAGAGAAAAAAATGCCCCAGAAGGGGTTGCTTGGATGAAGGCCTGCCTCTCTGAATTTCTGAACCTGCTTCAATGCTAACAGCAATGCAACTGGAATTCACTTTGTTCTCTCAGTGTCGACCATGGAAACGTTTTTATATTCTAAAATATTTCTGAGTAGGGCTCAGACATCCAATAGCTTGGACCTGACGTCACATATAGTTTATTCATCAAAGTCAGTTTAAAAGAACAAAGATACATCTGTTTTGCATTTTAGGCAGGCAGAACCCACGAACTGTTTATTAAGACCAGCTACCAATCATAGCCCTCAGAGTGCGCTTTATAGATCAGACCAAAATAACTTTGCAACGTGTGCCTCTTCCAGATGTCTAATTTTACCCACCATTATTTGTTCAGAAACAAATTTATGAATTCAGCTGTAGCAGGTTCCTTCCTCTCTCATCCACATTTGCTCAAGACCCTCGTGTCACACCCACCTGGACTCATGCTTGCTTTAGCTCCTTACATCCAGCACAAGGCATGGTGCTCCTGAGTCACCCACATAGAAATGGCAGAGCACATATAACAATGCACTGAAAAAGTATGCCTTTCTTCCTCCCAGCCTCAAAGTGGGTGTGGTTCCCCCATCTGAAATCCTCGCCCCTTCCCCTGCTGGCCCCAAGGCAGTCCATCAGCCAGGCCACACTTGCGTGCACGTCTCCCTCCTTGGAGCCTGCCTTGACCACCGCAGCTGGAAGTGATCTTGGCCTTGCCTCTGAACTCATGTCGGATATGTAGTCCATTCAACTCAGATGGCATTTTACATTTACTGCCTGGCATATTTAGTCATCTTTTCACATGTGCATGTCTGTTTTCAACAAGCAGATAATAGGATTTTTGTGAACAGCAAGATTACTGTCCTTTGTTCTTTCCCTTGGCGCCCCACATCTGCAGCTGCCGGGAAGCAGGCGGCGTGCACAGGGAGAGACCTGCAGACAGCACTCCACCTGCAGGACCACCTGCAGCCCAGCATGCTGAGCAGCAGATGCTCCCTATTCCGGTTTTGTGGGGAGTGAGCTTGCTTTCAGATAACTCTGATAAAAGGTGTGCAATGGGTACCTACATACATCTATACCAACACCTGAGGTGCTGAGAGCAGCTGCCTCAGTCACAGGATGAAGCTAGCCCTAGAGAGGAGGATGGAAGCTCTGGACTTCCCTTGCCAACAGCATCATCTGTTAAAAGGTAAGAGGGGCAACAAAAGGAATGTTTTCCTGAACTTAATTCAGGCCAACCAAGAAAACCCACCAGGCTATGGAAGTAATAGGAACCTGGGGACAAAAAAGATCTTGAAGGCAAGAATCAAGGTGCTCATGAGGCCTTTTTTCAATGAATCAGGGCAAACCCAAGGCTGGAAACACGGCAAGCCCAAGAGGTGTTATGAGCACAAGCATCCCTACACTGGCACCAAGCCTTCTGCAACAGGGTAAAGGAGCAGGCAAGGAATGGGTGAAAGAAATGGACCTGGATAGGCCTGGACATCAGAAGAGTCCAGGGAGGGTGGCGATGAGGCCTCTGAGGAAGGCTTCCAGCCAGGACGACAGCCTTCATTTGTGTTGGCCCAGCCCTGGTGCTGGCCTCCTACACCCCTATTTGCAGCCTGGTGGCAGGCACATGTTGGCAGCCAATGGTTCCCCTGACTTTCTGAAGGACTCTAGTTGCCACTCATCCTGGACCCTGGGTCAGTATGACTCAAGGACCATTCCTGGGCACTCTCCCTTGGTCCCACAGACTCTGTCAAGGAGGGTCCATGAGATATGAGAGGGTTAAGGGTTTAACCTGTACTGTTCTAAGGAACGTGAATGTTTACGTGGTAGACAAAAATGGCAGGGGGAGGGGGAGGGAGATGGGGAATTGTCTAAAGGATAAAGAATTTCAGTTTTTAAAGAGTCCTGAAGACCAGTTGTATGTTACTGTGCATGCACTTAACACTACTGAACTATGCACATAAAATACTTAAGATGGTCAATTCGATAGTAGGTGCATTTGATCACAATTAAGTTTTTTTTTTTTTTTTAAGAGACAGAGTCTCACTCTGTTGCCCTCAGTAGAGTGCCATGGTGTTGCTCACAGCAACCTCCAGCTCTTGGGCTTAGGCGATTCTCTTGCCTCAGCCTCCCAAGGAGCTGGGACCACAGGCATCCACCACAATGCTTGGCTATTTTTTTTGTTGTTGCAGTTTGGCTGGAGCTGGGTTTGAACCTGCCACCCTCGGTATATGGGGCCAATGCCCTACTCACTGAGCCACAGGCACCGCCCAAGTTCTTTTTTTAAATGCAGGGGCAGAGAGGCATGGAGGTTAAAAACACTGGACCTTTTGGAAAAAGCAGCACCCATGGCCAGAGGGATGAGGGCAGTGGACTTACGTAGGCACGGGAGAGCCATGCTGCCTGGAAATGACTGTGTTGCAACCCAGCAACCCCTGCTGCCCACAAGAACCTCTGACACTCTTTGGGGAGGAAGCTGGACCCATGACGTGACCTTCTCTTAGGCAGTGGCTACAAGACCCATGACCCAACAGTACTTGATCCAGGGAGCCCACCAGCCCAGGCAATGACTGTCACACATCCCTACTGTCACATGAGCCCATACCCAGCCACCAGACGCTGAGGGGGCCTCCCCTGGGGAAAGCACTAGACTTTCTATCCACAAGTCACAGCCCCCACAAGAAGCTGTTTTTCCTTAGGTGCCTTCATCTAAACACTCCCATTTATTCTACCTATCCCTGCCCATATCATCTGTTTATTTATTCATCTTTTTATTTATTTATTGAACGTTTGTCAAAGGCCTATGATGTGCTAAGAACAGTAGTAGGCACTAGAGTTTTAATAATAAACAAGGAAAAAAATCCCACTCTCATGGAGCTCACAGTTCACTGGGAGAGAGAGGCAAATAAAGTAATCAACTGTGGGAAGGAACTTCAATCCCCACAGGGCCTGGTGGCAGGCCCAGTACTGAGGCTCAGTCTCTTTTCACAGGGCTCTGCAGAATTACTGCTTCACCTGACATTAACCTAAACCTACCTGTTCATGACTTTGCCCCCACTCTTGAACTGATAAATCCTTCCCTACATGAAACCAAAGAATGTCTCCCTCTAGCTTCTACCCTGTCCTGAGTCCTTCTAAGCCATGCTCAGAATCTTTTCTGTCTTACTGATTGCTTTCATGCTGAAATCCTAGCCCAGTCCCAACCTTCCTTGGACTGTTCCCATAACCCATGTCCCAGAAGGCATTTCCTGTCCACGTTTTGCCATCCTCCTCATACTAACAAACCCAAACTCACCTCATCCTGCTGCGCTACTTCCTCAAAACATCCCCAGCCTGGCTCTCATTTCTTACTACCCCCTTCATTTATATTTCCTTTAAATTATTTGTGAATGTGACATTAATCAATCATTATCATATAAAGCCTTTCTTCTAATATTTAGAAAAATTGAAGTGATGTCTCAATTGAAACGTATTCCTGGTTCAGCACCTGTGGCTCAAGTGGCTAAGGTGCCAGCCACATACACCTAAGGTAGTGGGTTTGAATCCAGCCCGGGCCGCCAAACAATGA